TATCAAGAATATCTTTGATCGATTTGCTTTGTTTTTCGCACAGTATATAATTATTGAAGTTAAATGTCGAATGATTCGAAGCAAATTAAGAAAAAAATACATCGATATCTTCCGATTTTGCTTCGTTTTCCACACAATATATAATTATCGAGGTTAGACATCGAAAATTTGGAGAATCGGAAGAATATCTAATTCGATATCCTCGATCGATTTTCTTCCGGAAACTGTAATTATCGACGTGCCCACGTGTAGAATCGCATAGTTATTGTCGCGATGATGGTTGACGCGAGAAGGAAACCGGAGACAAAACCGGCTCGATATAAACCTTTCCCTCGGATATATACAAGGGGGCTGGTCCACGTCACGCTTATTGCTTCTTTGCCGGTAGTACAAACAATCCGCGTTTCCTCGATATTTCAACCAGCTCGAGTTTCCGCGAATCCACCTACCCCTCCCCCCCCCCCCCCTCTTTTATTTTTCCCCGTATCTGGCCATTCTGTAATCATTTTACGATCCATTCCATTCACGATCAAAGGAGAAAGCGAATTTCGACGAAAGTTTTCTTTTTCTCTCTCATTCTCATTCTCATTCTCTCCTTTCTTCAATTCTCATCGAATCCATGGTTCACAAAATTATTCGATTTGTATATATATATTTTTGGCAATTAGTGAGATAGCGAAGCAAACAGCAGGGGTCTACGATCTCTGACGTTGTTTCCCTGACGTTAAGAAGATTTCATAAAAGCGTGGCGCGCTTTATACGCGCTATTCTCATCGTAATCATAATAATTACCACCGCTATCTTTAATGCCCTGGAAGAGGATAATGGGAGCGGCGGCGGTTATTACGGCCGCTCGTATAAACCGCGATCTTGATATCCCCCCCCCCCCGAACGTTTCCAGACAATGTCAACGTTCACGTTCCTTCTTCCCCTCCCCCTCTCTTAAACTCTTTTAAACTCGTCTCGATTCGTTTAATTCCGCTTCGAAGCGAAAATTTTGTACCCGAAATTGAAAAATCGGAATTGTTTAGTCTCTCCTTGGATCGATTCTTTGCAGGATGGTTCCGAGGCGGGGGCAACTGGAAGACATAAAATGCGCGGGGGCCAAGTGAGGCAAGCCGCGCTACTCGTAAATCAATCGAAACAGGAAGAGGCGTTGTTTGCCTTCGCTGCGAGGCTTATTATTCATCCCCCCGACCGATTTTCCTCCTCCGACTCGAAACGACTCGATACCTCGGCTCACCTCGTCCCCTTGAACGATCATCCTGACGATGGCGCTAATAAAATCCGCTTCCAGTTTGCCCTCTTCTGAAACATCCTTTCGTCTCCGATCACATACTTTTCCAATTATAATATATTCCCTCGAACGGAATAATTCTCGAGCAAGTGTTTCTGGCGGATAAAGCGTTCCCAGAAGAACGACGCATCGACGACTCCTCCTCGACGCATTATTTAAGGCTGCACCCGTTTCCGTTTCGCTCCGAGACGCACCCTTATAAAAGCTTTTACGACCGGAAGTTGACCCCGCGGGGGCGCCAAGGTATACGGGTACCTTAGTTGTTGCGAAACCGAGACACTAGAGACACCTAATTAAACACGAGCCAGCGTGCTCCTCGTAAAAAAATTCTTCCTTCTTCCACTCGAATCTTTCCCTTCCCTTTTCGCCGAGCGAGAGACACGGTAATTTCCCTCGATTTTATGCGAGCGAAAACCGTTCCGATCGCAATCTGTCGAAGACACCGTGCAACAACGTGGCGACAACGGTACCGCCTGTTTCACCGTTATCGCCGTTCCTTATCAGCCGGAAGGGAGCGAGTTATCTGAATCTCGGCAAGGAAAAAAGAAGAAGAAGAAGAAGAAGAAGAAGAAGAAGAAGAAGAAGTGGAAGAAGCGAAAGAAGAAGAAGAAAAAAAGGAGCGTCGTCGCCGTGCATCGATAATTACTCGTCGTAAAAGTAACGTGGCGTTGAAACGACACACTCTCGCCACACGCTTTCGTTCTCTTCGGCGAATTTTACGCTCACCTCTCGTTTCCGAATCGACTCGTTCGAGCTCGTAAACCCCTCCCTGCCTCCTCCTGTTCCTTCCTCGTGAACGCGGCGTACGATCGAAACTGAACTTTCCTCCCCGGTTGAAAACTCCCGGTTAAAAGGAGGAAGAACAGAGAGAGGGGGAAGAAGAAGAAGAAAAAAAGAAAATAAAAATAGAAGAGAAGGATGGAGTTTGGGGAGAGCGTGATGATAACGATAACAGTAAAAATGATATCCCGGAAGAACGATTATTTCGATCCCCATTACCTCGAAGAATCGAGATGATGAATCGAGGCGCGCGGGGGTTTCTCGATCCCTAACGATAGTTAATCGTTGGGACGATAAAAGGACGCAACCGTGTCCCGCGTCGGATGGATGGTTTCTCGCGGAGGGGAGGGAGGGAGGAGGTGGCGCTAGAGGGGGCGCGGTGCGCGCGGGTACATCGATCATCGGAGGACGCGCGTCCCTCCCCCTTGCCTCGAAGAAGAGGACCGCAAAGTAGAGCCGATCGACCGTCGGCTGTATCAGGAATTATTATTCACCGGCCGTCAGTGGATGAGAAGGAGAGGGCGGGGCCGCGGAGCATGCATCATCGAGAGCAAATTCCGCTCGCCCCCTCTTTATTTTCACGGTGGTGGTGAAGGATAGGGGGGAGGGAGGGAGATGGAGCAACGGAGGCCGGTTCTCTCGTGGATCTTCACGTGGCTGCCGTCACTCCGCTTAACTGTAGATCAATCAATATACGCTGGTTGAAGAACCCCTCTCTGTCTCTCTCTCTCTCTCTCTCTCTCTCTCTCCTCCCCTTCCTCCACGGCCTTGCCTCGGTTCGTTCCTCTTTCTCCGACCTTTTACCCTCCGTCCTCCCCCTCCGGCTGCCCCTAACGAGCTCATCGCTCGTCCAGCCAAAGAAAAAACACGAGAAAGTGGTACAAAATGGCCCTTGAGAAATGCCGTCCGTCCGTCCGTCCATCCATCCGTCCATCCATCCGTTCGTTCGTTCGTTCGTTCGTTTGTCCAGTCGTTGTTGGTTCGTTTCACCAGGTCCGTTGCAAGGGTGGTGGATGAGATCGAGGCTAGGGCGTTGCCACGAAACGCGCGGATGGAATGCGCGTACGAATAAAGGGAGGAGGGGAGGAGGAGGAGGACGTGATATAAACGGCCATTTCGGTGAACGAAAAAAAGAAAAAAACGCGTTTCTTCCGTTCCTCTCTCTCTCTCTCTCTCTCTCCTCTCTCCGTCCCACCCGTCGTATCAAAGTCTGCTCGTTAATTATTCCGCCGGTCTATCATTAAGAATTCCGCAGATACGACGAGTATCTTATAACGCTATACGAGTACGATCTCGCGATCGTAGGCGTTACCAATTGTAAAGGCACCTGTCTCGTGGCCTTGGATAACGCGATGCGCATATTTTCGCAGTCGTTATCGGTCATTTTTGAATAATAAGGAAAAAAAAAGAAAAATGAAAAAATGATTGATCAGCGCGCAATTCAAAGTTTCCATTATCCAACGCGTTGACACCGAATTATTATAATCGTGGAAATTTGGCATCGATTGGAACGAGCGAAGGAAGGAAGGAAGGAAGAAAAAAATATTCACACTTTTAATATTCCAATATTATATCTCTCCGGCGAAACAAGCTTATTAATTGCGATTCGTAATGCGCATGATGATCAAGCGTGATGTAACAATCGTGGAAACGCGTCGATCGAGCGTGCAAAACATGTAAAATTAATTTATCACGTAGGCTTTACCTTTGAACGATCGAGAGAGACGGATAGATTTTTCGTGAAAACGTTTTCCTCTCCTCGTGCCGGTCATTGCTCTCTCTTTCCCTCATCCCCTTACATACTCCCCTCCCCCTTTCGAACCGCGGGCACACATTCGTTGGCAACGTTCCGCGGAATATGAACCGATGGAATTTGGCAGCGGCAAATTAATTGTTATTCACCCCTCGGGTCTCGTTCCGATGAAATTCATGCCGTGCGGACGGCACACGTACGAGCGGAAACGGGTTTTCAAACGACGAGCCAACAACAACAGCAACAACGAACAATTCTAAGAAATTTCATAAATTGGTCACTCCAAACGATGATCCAGAGAGCTCAACGTCTCTCCTCCTCCTCCCCCTTCTCCCCTCTCTTTTCCTATCTAAGCGGTTAGGAAGGAAACGCGCGGTTGGCAATTTTCTAAAAGCGGTGATCGTTGGTTGGACCTTGGCCACGTCTCAGTTTATCGTCTTACCGCGCGGTGACAGTTTCAAGCGCGGCTGTCGCTTGAAAGAGATAAAGGAGCGCGTTGATCGTTCGAAACGGTTCGAATCCGATCCGATCCGATCCGGGAATCGAGATGGATCCGAGAGAGGGAGGGAGTGAAGGGGGGAGGTACGGGTCGAGGAACGGCAATTAGTTCCAATAATCGTTGCCTCACTCGGCTCTCCCGTTTGACGAGAGGGGGGGGAGAAGGAACGATAGAGAGAAGGGGAGGGGAATGTTGTATTATAAAAGCAATTAGAGGGTCTCGGATTAGATATAGCACATCGTACATAACAAATATGATAATACGGGGCCCTGCCAGCCCCGAAGGGAGTTCGGCTTTGCCTCGGTCGAGGGGGTTTCGGGTTATGGGGCAGGTTAAACGGAATCATTAATAATCGGAGCTAACTAATCTGCCTGTCGCTATGAGCACACTTGTTTCACTCCTGTTTTTATTGGCCCTCGAACGTAACGTTTTATTCCGTGGTGGTAACCGTAACGTTCCGTCGAGGGTGGCGGTGGGCGAAAAGGAGGAGGGCAAGGAGGAAAAAAAACTACGAATCCGGATTTCCTCGCGGAAATCGATCACACACGCACGCGCACACACACACACGCACACATACATATACACACTCGATCGATCGATTTTCGATTCCGATCGAAGATGAAAAATCGACGCAAACACGTTTATCTTTGCCTTTGGTTTCGTTCTTTCAGCTTTACGAGATCAACGACGATCCGAAAAGGAAGGAATTCCTGGACGATCTCTTCAGTTACATGCAAAAACGAGGTAAGTGTTCTCTCTCTCCCCCCTCCCCCCTCCCCTCTTCGTTCCAACGTTTCTTCTTTTTTTTTTTTATTATTATTCCCTAGAGACAATATGTTGTAACAATAACAATAACAATAACAATAACAATAATAATAACAATAACAATAATAATAATAATAATAATAATAATAATAATACACGCGATTGCAATAATCGTCGAGCAATCGTGACGCCCGGGTAAACGAGATATTACCCGCGGTAAGGGTAAATAATAAAAGGAAAAGGTATCGACGACGGTTCGACGTCAAGCAAACGTGACGCGAAATGGCGCCGCGCTCGTTAAAAAAAAAAAAAAAAAAAAAAAAAAAGGAGGAGGAGCCCCCCTTGACCCCCGCGCCGCGGGATTCATTATCGTCCGGGAATTAATTTCGCAAATATTGATCGTCCCGATCGACGTCCAAGGCCGATGATTCCTCGGTTGGATCGGGACGAATGTTGGAACGAGCCCGAGTTTTCATCCGCGCGGACTCGGCCGGCATTTGTCTCCATCCAACAGGCGAAGACTTATTGCGATCTCTTGGCAAGCGGTCGCGTTCCGCGCGAGCCTTTACGATCCCTCTCGTAATCCCGCGTGCATGTCCACGTGATGGGGAGGGGGCGCCTCCCCCAATCTCCAAACCGATTTAACCTTAGACCACCTACGCGTGCCACCATCCCCCTCTCCATTTTACCCTCGATCCTCGAGACTTCGCGCGTCCTCATCATCCGCGCGAGAGACGATCACGTTATCGTTTCGAAGAAATGGGGCCGGTTGTATTTAGAAACCCATTGTCCCGAGAACTTGGAGAAATCGTGCCAAGGTGTTCGGAATTCGGTTCCATTCGATTATATTCGGATCTCTACATTATCGGCCGAGCGCAACGAACTCGAACGTCCCGATCTCCACGAGTTTATCTCGTCTCTTTTTTCTTCGTCCGATCGAGCGATGGAGGACCGAGCTGAAAATTATCGAGCGACGGAGGAGAGGGGGGAGGAGGAGGAGGAGGAGGAGGAGGAGGATAGGGTTTGGAATGCGTGTCACCGTGTTAAGGGGAAAGGGGTTCGAGTTTCGTGAGTTGCGAAAATTACGAGGCGTATTACGTTCGCCGGCCGTTGGAGGAGGAAAACGAAGCGCACGTGCGCACCCGCATCTCGTTTCCTGCACACGTGGGATCCCCGGGAGAAGGGATCCGCGCATCCCGACGCCTCGTAAACGTCCACGTGGTTAAAAGGTTCGATAATACGTTGCATCTGCGTCCGTCAGAACGGACCGAATTAGATCTTGACCAGCCGCTGGAAACAGCGAAACTCTATCCCTTTCGCGTTTTCCACCATTTCCACTTCTCGACCGTATCGTTGAAAAAGGGAAAAGAAAAGAAAAGAAATTACGAGATGAAATTTACGAGAGAAGAATCTTACACCTCTTTGGAAACAGCGAGGTGTCTATCCTTATTTCGCTTCGACCGTATCGTCGAAAAAGGAAAAAAAGAATTACGAGATAGAATTTAAGAAATAGAATAGAAAATCCTAATTTTAGTCCCTTAAAAATGTTAAGACGATCGATGGAAAAAAAAAGAAATTACGAGAATTTTAGAATCTTACACCTTCCGTGGAAATTTTATTCTTTTCGCGTTTTCCACAATTTCGCTTCGACCGTAAGTCGTTAAAAAAGGAAAAAAAGAATTACGAGGTAGAATTTAAGAAATAGGATAGAAAATCCTAATTTTAGTCCCTCGAAAAAGGTATTAAGACGATCGATGGAAAAAAAAAATTACGAGATAGAATTTAAGAAATAGAATAAAAAATCTTAATTTTAATCCCTCGAAAAAGATATTAAGACGATCGATGGAAAAAAAAAATTACGAGATAAAATTTAAGAAATAAAATAGAAAATTCTAATTTTAATCCCTCGAAAAAGATATTAAGACGATCGATGGAAAAAAAAAAAAAATTACGAGGTAGAATTTAAGAATCTTACACCTTCGCTGGAAACTCTATCCCTTTCGCGTTTTCCTTTTCACAATTTCGCTTCGACCGTATCGTTGAAAAAGGAAAAAAAAAAAAAAATTACGAGATAGAATTTAAAAAACAGAATAGAAAATTCTTATCCTTGAAAAAAAAAGATATTAAGATCGATGTAATTTCAAATCGATCGACGGGATTTATGTATAATACAAACTTGGCGATACTTAACCGTACTTCTTCTCTTTCACACGAAATCCCCTAGACACGTTATCCCCTAGTAATAATTAGAAATCGAACCTTCCTTGGTTAAAATCAATTGAAGGTAGTAGAATGTTGGCGGGAGAAATTGAACGTCGTTTCCGCCGCAGCAAGAAACACAAGAGGAGGAGAAAAGGGCAGGGTCGTGTTCTAAGAAATCTCGCCTCGCGAGAAGCACGAGGTTATCGTCGCTGGCATAATATAAATTTCCAATCAAAGCGAGGATCGATGGCCGGTTGATGCGATCTTTACGAGGTCGATTAAAATCGTGGCTCGAGAAGAAAGGAAGAGAGGAGGGGGAGAAGGGGTTGCGACGAGGGAATATAAAGGAGCGTATCGGGGGTGGGGAAGAAGCTGGAACGAAAAGCCGGGGGTACCGCCCCCCCGCGGGGCCTGTTATTGTGTCGACGTGAACAATGATTCGACGCTAACGCGATTCATAACACCTCGGCCACGTTCACAGATATAAAAGACCATCCATCACATCCCTCTACATTAGTCGATCCATCCACGATTCTCTGTTTGTTATCGATTCCCCACACCCTTGGTGGAGCCACCAATCCCGACCTGTTAATCCTCCATCTGCAACTTGTTAAAAAGTGAAAATTGGCGACCGACCAGTTTCCTTTTACCTTTACTTTGTTAAAAACGTTTTGCACGCGGGAGACTCTTTTTTTGAGTCTCATCCCCTGTACAATTTAACAGTCGATAATTCGTCGTTCGAAACGTAATAATAATTTGCAAATAATCGTGAAGAGAAAAAAAACGAAATAAACGTTATTTAATTGCACTTTGCTCGAAATTTTCAATCAGTTTCACTTTTTCCATTAATAAAATTTTCAATTTTCGAAATACGTTCGATTTCTCGCACAAGAGGACACGGAGCTCGAGGCGGAGAGATCTCTTCTCCCCGGCTGGCAGTAATGTCGGGATTATCTTAATTAAAAGATCGTAAAGTTGATCATCGATAGAGATTTCAACCGGACGGGATACCACTTCCATCTCTCTCCTCCCGGATAACCTGTGTAAATTCGGCGCGGTAATAGATATTACGAGGTCGTTTCGCAACAAAGTGTTTCGTCTCGTTCGTATATCAAACGAGCCGACGAGGCGAGCAACCGGAACGCGCAAATTCGCATAAGCGGAACGTAATTGGCGGGGATAAGGCCCGGGCCCGCGAGACTTCCACCGCCTTCCTTTTGGAACCGGTTCATCCCGATCAAAGGGGACACCTTCCTCTCCTCGAGAGATATAATTGGAACTTAGTTAACTTCCACCCTCCGTTTCACCCTCCAATCCCTCCCTTCCTCCCCTCCTCCCCTCCTCCCAGTGATAAAAACCGAAAAACATTCTTTTCCCCGCCCAATATCCCGCGAGTTACATTACACCTCTTTAAAAAAAAAAAAAAAAAAAAAAAGAAAATAAACGATCGATCGAGGATACGTACGTTAGCAGATTACGTTCGTCGTTGTTCTCACACATCGCGTCGGAGGGATAGTCGAAGAACGTTTGGCGGAGCAAGAAGGTTGCAGCGTTTATCGCGGAGGGAAGGTTCTTTATTTATCGCGCGTATTGCTGGCACCTCTTCGGGGCCCCGACCGTTATAAATCTCAAGCCATTTAATATGCAAATCCCGCCACCTCCTCGACAGCCCGAGGACTCTCTCTCTCTCTCTCTCTCTCTCCCCCTCTCCCCCCTCTCCTTTTTTTTTTTATTTTCTTTTAGCATCGCGAACGAGTTTCAATCGCCGATGTAATTCATACTGCGACCGCGCGAGAGCAAATGCCATTCTCTCGTCGAATGCGTTATTATCTTACTCCTCTGGGCCCCTTCCCCTCCGCGCCCCGCTCAGCCCTCGATCCTCGCGGGACGGCCGGTTACGCGCCAACAACTCCCACGAGGACCGCTTAATGATATCCGCTCGATTTTATAAGCCTTTCGATAAGCACTATATGTTTTCCGCTACCAATACTTTTCTTCTTCTTCTTCTTCTTCTTCTTCTTCTTCTTTTTTTTCACTTCTTTTTCTCTGTCATTTTTTTCTAGATTATTAACTGATTTCGCCCTCGTAACGACGCTTTCAACATTAGGTTATAGATTGTTAGAGGATGTGAAATTATTCTTCTTCTTTTTCTTTTTCACTTATTTTTCTCTGTCATTTTTTCGATTTTTAACTAATTTCGCGTAACGATGCTTCCAACATTAGGTTATAGATTGTTAAAGGATGTAAAATTATTCTTCTTCTTTTTTCTCTAGATTATTCATTTTTCTCTAGATTATTCATTTTTTTCTAGATTATTAACTGATTTCGTCCTCGTAACGATGCTTCCAACATTAGGTTATAGATTGTTAAAGGATGTGAAATTATTCTTCTTCTTTTTCTTTTTCACTTATTTTTCTCTGTCATTTTTTCGATTTTTAACTAATTTCGCGTAACGACGCTTCCAATATTAGGTTATAGATTGTTAAAGGATATAAAATTATTCTTCTTTTTTTTCTTTTTCACTTTTTTTTCTCTGTCATTTTTTCGATTTTTAACTAATTTCGCGTAACGACGCTTCCAACATTAGGTTATAGATTGTTAAAGGATGTAAAATTATTCTTCTTCTTTTTTCTCTGTCATTTTTTTCTAGATTATTAACTGATTTCGCCCTCGTAACGACGCTTCTAACAGGGTTATATAGGTATTGTTAATGGAGATGTAAAAAATTTTTAAAAAGGAGCTACTCGTTCTTCTTCAATTTTATATTTCGTATCGAT